TGTGTGAGTCATTTAGTCACTGGCATTCCCTGAGTTGTCCAGCCTGCATCCGCCTAGACACTCATTACGAGGTCGTGCCACTTGTCATGTGTGAGTCATTTAGTCACTGGCATTCCCTGAGTTGTCCGGCCTACATCCGCCTAGACACTCATTACGGGGTCGTGCTACTTTTCATGTGACTTCCTGGTCAAATGCTCACTCGCTAAAACTGGTCATAAACTTTTATCATGGAATAGCATGCTAGAGTTATTCGAAAACTGATTAAACACATAGCATGCAACTGATCATAAAAACGTCATACGTGTAAAAACATATCATGTACGTAAAGTGAAACATCATGCACTTGTACCATCATCATATAAATCATATAGTGTTTGAAAATACATTTATACATAGGTATACATCCCATTGTAAGTCTCATGAAGACTCACCTGATAACGTCGATTGCTTAATTAACGGTGCTGACTGGTACCCTAACTCGGGTCCAGCTAGTTGCCTTTCTCCAATGTCTACCCAACAAATTGGATTTCTACACTTATATAACGCTTCAAAAGGCGCCGCCTTGATACTCGAATGGTAACTGTTGTTATAAGTAAATTCTACCAATGGGAGGTGGTTGTCCCAACTTCCTCCAAAGTCAATCACACAAGCTCTCAACATATCTTCTAGTGTTTGTATTGTCCTCTCACTCTGGCCATCCATTTGAGGATGATACGCAGTACTCATGTTCAACCGTGTTCCCATCTCTTGCTGAAAACTTGACCAAAATCTCGAAGTAAACCTAGCATCTCTATCTGAGACAATGGAGATTGGCAACCCATGTCTTGACACGATTTCATTGACATAGAGTTGGGCCAATCTTTCTAATGTATACTTGTCGCTGATCGGCAAGAAATGAGTGGATTTTGTTAGTCGGTCCACAATCACCCATATGGCATCGTGTCCCTTTACCGTTCTTGGGAGTTTGGTGACGAAATCCATCGTGATCATATCCCACTTCCATACTGGGATCTCCATTTGTTGCAACATTTTAGATGGTTTTTGATGCTCGGTCTTCACTTTCAAGCACGTCAGACATTTCCCCACGTAGCTAGCTACTGTCCTTTTCATGCCAGGCCACCAATAGCTTGACTTTATGTTTTTGTACATCTTATTGCTTCCTGGGTGCATAGTGTATTTGGACTTATGTGCTTCATCCATCACTACATTTGTTAGATCTCCCAAGCTAGGAATCCAAATCCGATTCCCATGTCTATATATTTCATCTGGTCCAGCTGTCAAAGTCTTGATTTGTCCAATCATTCTCTCCTTTCTGATGTTTGTTTCGAGTAAAGCCTTCTTTTGGACATCCCGTATTTGGTCTAGAAGCTCCACCTTAACACTCATCCACATGGCTCGAACCCTGATTGGTTCGTTTCTCTCCTTCCTACTAAGTGCATCGGCAACTACATTTGCCTTACCTGGATGGTAGTGAATCTCGCAATCATAATTCTTAAGTAGTTCCATCCACCTTCTTTGTCTCATATTTAGCTCCTTTTGATCAAACAAGTACTTAAGACTCTTATGATCGGTGTAGATCATACACTTTATACCGAACAGATAATGTCTCCAGATTTTTAGCGCGAAGACAACAGCTGCTAATTCCATGTCATGAGTTGGGTATCTCTTCTCGTGTTCATTCAACTGTCGTGATGCATATGCAATGACCTTGCCTCGCTGCATTAGCACACAACCTAATCCCATTTTTGATGTATCGCTATATACGACAAAATCTTCTACTCCTTCCGGTGGGGATAAAACCAGTGCAGTGCTTAGTCTCTCCTTAAGTGTCTGGAACGCTTCTTCTTGTTTCGTTCCCCAATCAAACCTAACTGACTTCTTAGTCAACGTTGTCAAAGGCGTTGCTATTTTGGAGAAATCCTGAATGAACCTTCGGTAATATCCTGCTAGACCTAGAAAACTTCGGATTTCCGATGCTGACTTTGGTGATTCCCAGTTCGTAACTGCATCAATCTTAGCCGGGTCCACCTTGATTCCTTCCTCGTTGACTACGTGACCGAGGAATTGTACCTCATGCAACCAAAACTCACATTTGAGAACTTGGCGTACAATTGTTCCTTTGCCAGCAGTTCGAGGATCAACCTTAAGTGTTGCTCATGCTCCTCCTTATTTTTAGAATAGATCAATATGTCATCTATAAAGACTATGACAAATTGGTCCAAATACGATCCACAGACTCGATTCATTAAGTCTATGAATGCCGCAGGTGCGTTTGTCAATCCAAATGGCATTACTACAAATTTGTAATGTCCGTATCGAGTCCTAAAAGCGGTCTTCGACACGTCTTCTTCTCAAACCTTCAACTGGTGGTAACCTGATCTTAAATCGATTTTCGAGAAGCAGCTGGCTCCTTGCAACTGATCGAAAAGGTCGTCGATCCTTGGCAATGGATATCTGTTCTTTATCGTGATTTTGTTCAATTCTCGATAATCGATGCACATCCTCATCGTGCCGTCTTTCTTCTTGACGAATAAAATCGGTGCTCCCCATGGTGACGAGCTTGGCCTTATAAATCCTTTATCTAAGAGTTCCTGCAATTGCCTCATCAGCTCTTGCATTTCTGTTGAGGCTAACAGATAAGGTGCCCTTGCGATCGGTACCGCACCTGGTACCAAATCGATCCGGAACTCTACCTGACGTTCCGATGGTACTCCTGGTAATTCATCCGGAAATACCCCTGGGTAATCCCTTACCACTGGAACATCATGTATTACCTTCTTTCGAGTTTGGCGTTGATGGCGTATGCCAAGTAAGCTACACAACCCTTCCGCAGACACTTGTTCGCCTTAATTGCATTGATCAACCCTACGCAACCCTTCTTTCGACTACCATAAACCCGGATTGTTTCTCCTTCCGGAGTTTGAATCTTGATCATCTTTTTATTGCATACTATTTGCGCATGATTGTTGGACAGCCAATCCATCCCCAAGACTACGTCAAAACCTCCTAGGCATATTGGCATAAGCCTAACAGGGAAGTCCTTCCCATCTATCACAATCGTGCATTCATCAAATACTTCGTCCACCTTACACTGACTACCGTCGGCTATTTCTACAGTGTAGGTTTTGTCTAGTCTACAGGCACTCCTATTCAAATAGTGACAGAAGGCAGTAGACACAAAACTACCATTCGCACCCGAATCAAATAATACAAGTGCATACACATCGTTGATAGGGAACATACCAGATACGACATCGGGTGTTTCCTTGGCCTCCTCCAAGGTCATGTTGTAAGCTCGGCCGTGACCCTTAGGTAGCTCCTTCCTACTTTTCGATCTCTTTCCAAACCCGTTATTTACTGTCTTCGCGTAAGGTGTCGCACCATTCTGACGTTTTGGGCAGTCAGGTCGTAGATGTCCCATAGCTCCACATTCATAACAAGTTCTCCTCTCTGGGCACTCTCACGCGGTGTGTCCCGGTTTGTCATATTTGTAGCATGTCAGGCTCCCCGCTCTGCACTCTCCCTTATGCCTCTTGTTGCATTTGTTACACGAAGGAATAGTGAATTCTTCACTTCGTGTTTTTGCCAGAGTCGGAGCCCAGTTGGGCTTCTTGTTGAACTTGCTTGTTCCTTCCCACCTTCTCTTTATCTCTCTTCTGTCACAAGTTTCTCTAGCGTTGTTCTCCTCGGCCATCCTTGCCATCTCCACTGCCTGTACAAATGTGGTTGGTTTAATCATGTCCACGTATCACTTGATTTCGATTCTTAAGCCGTCTTTGAAACGACCTATCTTCCTTTCCTCGGTAGCCACCTGGTAACTGGCGAATCTTGCTTTCTCAAGAAACTCGTTAACATATTCTTGAACTGACAACGATCCTTGCTTTAATCTCARAAATTCGGATTCTAGCTTGTTTACCTCCGATTGCGAGCAGTACTTATCCATCATCATTTTTTTCATTTGCTCCCACGTCATGGCAGCAACATCCTCATCGCCTCTGATTGCACACTCAGACTCCCACCAGTGCAGTGCATAGTCCACAAAGGTGGTAGCAGCGTAGGTCACCCTCTGATCTTCCATGCATCTGCAAATTTTGAAGCAGCTCTGCATCTTAGTTACCCAGTTCATCAGCCCAATTGGGCCCTCTATTCCCTTGAACTCCTTCGGCCCGGTGCCCTTGAAGGTTTTATAACTGCATCCTCTCTTCTTAGCAGTCAACTCAGTCATCTTGATGATGAGCGACTCCACCTTCTCTTCATCAGACACCTCCACCCCTTCGGGGGCTTGAGTGTTCTTGTGTCGAACGCTTCCTTCCTCTTCGCCTTCATTATCCTTAAGTCTGTCACCCAACATCTCTTTAAGCATATTTGGCAATGTTTCCCGGAGGACTTGTGTCATTTGTTCAGCCATCACTTCCTTTGTGAGGGGAATCTATCCTCCTTGGCTCCCTTGGCTCCTACCGATAGCCAAATTAGCTGGCGCGGATGGGGTCGTACTCGAACTAGCGGTTCGGACACCTCCGCGACCTCGACCTTGTGCTCGTGTCCGTCCTCGAACTGTCGGTGGGGCTACGCCATTGATACCTCCTCCATTGAGGGCGTTCCTTGTTGATCCTCGAGAAACCATAATGACATAATAGGGTATTATTGATTTAACAAGGTTCTAGAGTCGACTTAACATATTACATTTATATATACCTATAATACGTATACACACGCGTATATAGCATAATCACTTTATACCAGCGAAACACATGATAAGGGATTCACGTCGCAATTACATAATGCTCCAAAAGATATATATATATATATATTTCGCTTCAATAACAATCCGGGGGAGAGAGACATTATAAAATCCCATTTACTTACAAAAGATGGGATGCTTCAAAGTCCTAAACACAGGTGAAAGTTGCAAAAATCTATCGACGCACTGGCTAGATGAAAACTATTTAGACACATACAAATAAATTCACCTACTCAAAGATTCTTCTCTCATCCCTGATCCCAAGTCTAAAACTGATATGCGGGATAGTAAGGGAGATAAGGGTCCCTCA